TTGAGGAAGTTTTATGACTGGTAAACCAGCGGATGCGGTAGCAGTTAAATAAAAAATGACTAAAAAAATAAAAAATATTACAAAAAAAAAGAAATAAAAACACCAATATATTATTATGATAATATTAGAAAAATTGAACATGCTTAATAATTAAAACCATAAATAAAGTACTAAATAATTATTCAAAAATAAAGAAATTTTTAAATAAGATAGTACTTTATGCTGAGTTAACACCAAAAACTGTAAATAACGTTGAATTCAATCAAAAAACAAGTAATTTTCTATTCGAGAAAACAAATCGAAACATATATTCAATCAAAAAGAAAAGCAATATATAATGAAAAGAAAAAAATATTCAAATTGATTTTCATCAGTTTGGGTGGAAGACATTGAGAAAATAAGGTTTTAGAATATTGATTAGAGTTTCTGATGAGAACGTGATACAAAGATGAAAGATATATATAAGATTAATATATTTTATAATAACTATTAGTAAACGTTTGATTTTTTTATTTTTTTTTATTTTAAATCCAACCGCTACCGCCCGCAACCGCAAACGCTTGCGGGAAGGAGCTTTTGAAATTCAGCGATTTCGAGCGGTTTGAAGCGGTACGGAACGGTTTTTATGATTGATACCAACCGCTAACAACCGCAACCGACCGCTAGCAACCGCTAGGAGGGTGCTAGCGGGAGAACCAATCAAGCCCTCAATCAAAGATTTTAAATATTATGGCAGACGTTACCAAACATTTTATTTCTTTATTTTCCAATATAGGAGAATCCTAATAAACTTATTCAAATAATCATCTTTATAATATAAGTTTTGTTGAGATTAATGTAAGTGGGGATTAGTGGGGATTTAATAATAAAATAATGTAAGAAGTTATGTTTAGAACATGTTTAGTTGATTATTGGTAGAACATGTTTCTAAGTAATATTATAATAATATAATGAAGTAATTGAAAAAAAAATTTCAAAAATTAAAAATTATATTTAAATTGAAAACATAAAAAAACTAAAACTAAATTTTATTTAAAAATACAAAGACACCCAAAATACAATTAGAAATTAAACAAGACATTAAAGATAGGAATGAAAAACAAAACAAAGAAACATTTTAAACACACAAACATTTTATTTAATTAATACAAAGTTTAAAATGTTTAATCATCATTTGGAAGATGTCCAAATTTAGCCCATATATGCTCAATCAAATCTTCTTTTAATTTGTGATGTGCTTGTCGATCACGAATTCTTGTGTGACCATCACCTAAACCGTCGAGATTGGTAGGCATATTGACTGAACCTTTAAAAACGGGGATGGTTTCCGTTTCTTCTCCTTCTTCACGTAATTCTTCTTCGAGAGTGTATCAATTTCGTTCATTTTCGACAATCATATTATGGAGTATGAGACATGCTCTCATAATGTATGCTAACTTACCTTTCTTCCATAAAAGAGCTGGATTTTTAATCATAGCGAATCTAGCTTGCAGGACTCCAAATGCACGTTCAACATCTTTCCGTGCACCTTCTTGACGTTTTGCAAACAACCTATGTTTCAGGTGTTGTGGTCCTGGGATGGATTTAACAAATGTCGCCCACTCCGGATAAATCCCATCCGTAAGATAATAAGCCAAATTATACTCCCTTCCGTTGACATAGTAGCTTACTTCAGGAGCTCGACCGTGAATAATGTCATTAAATACGGGAGATTGATCAAGAACATTTAAATCGTTACAAGTACCTGGCGCTCCAAAAAATGCGTGCCATATCCAGAGATCTTGTGAACTGAACCAAAACTTGATGAACCAAAAAATTTGAGAACCCGACATACTCTATTCACATAATCTACCAAGTCTAACTTTAATCAACACTGAAACAGATATCATGAAATATATCAGTTTCCATTACATATCAAAACCCAAATCTCATAAAAAATTCATTTGTAAACCTATATTTCTTCATCAATAACTCACTAATCACAACAAAAGCAACAACTCTTCGGATTCAACAACCAAAAACGAGTTCTAACACAAAGATTATGACGATTTACCTACTGTATCTCGCCGGAGACAGAGGATGCGATGAGACCCAGAGGAGATGAGACCCAGAGGAGACAGACGAGGCGATTTTGGAACGGATTCTAACTAATTGAAAGCAGAGAATGATTAAATGGTCGAAATGAGATCGATTTTCGGGTTGTTTGGTCGGAAAACGGCTTCAAATCGGAGAGAAATCGGAGGTCGAACTCTCGGACCAAGCTTCGTGTCGAGAGAGAAAGGAAAGAAACCGTAGATCCCCAAATTTTTTTCTCCCCCAAATGATTTTAATTTTCTAATTACAAAAAATAAATGACCAACCAGACGCTGCCACGTAATCCCACATCCGGTTGTAACCTTACATCCGACTTGCGACTCCACTCCCACTTTTCTCTTATTTTCAAATACTTTAATGCTCACACCCGACTTAAAAATGTACCAGTGCGTGTGCTCTAGTATAAACTTGTACCAATGTCTCATTTAAGAAAATAATTAAGAACAATCTAGAAAAAAAATTTTATTTTTCAAAAACCTTGGTGATACTCAGCATTAGAACTGCAAGTCTGCAACTAGAACATGATCCAACTACAACTGATATAAGCCGCCCGATTAATCTTTAAGATAAGCTAGCTCGACTGAGAAAACTTGACCTACTAAATTTTTAATTAGGTTTCGACACCAAACTAGAGGGACATAGTTCAATTTTCTTTGTCAATACTAGACAACACCACCAGCCAATAACACGTACAGTCCAAGCTCTTACTTCCCATATGCAAATATGAATTTGTTTCCAAAACAGAACAAATTTACGCCTTATCCCATATCTAACTGAAATAAACTTTCGAGCAACTACAATGATTTTACATATTGATATATTTGATATTAAATATAATAATTATTTGTAAATTTTAGTTTTTGATCTTCAACTATAAAACTTTTTCAACTATAATTACCTTACTTTTGGTATTTAATTACACTGATTTTACATGTTAATATAAAGGTGTAGTTATAGAACCTATTAGTTTCTATGTATATTTAAAATACTGAAATTACATGTTGATTATGTAATTTGGATGGGAACACATGCCTGATGATGCCCCCAAGTCCCAAAAAACAAATAAAGGCCATTCTTGATTGGATCACTTAAATCATTCTTTTAATTGAGTAAGTTAATTTGGGTTTATCCCGAATCTTATCTTTTTCATTATTTCTTGTGATCTCCGCCTCGTTATTCTTTTACTTCGAAATACGACAATCTTTTCTACATAGAAGACGAATCACTACATCAACATGTCTCAGTTCATGCACCATTCTCTTGTACCCAAAATAACACTTTATAAATTACATTGAAAGTATGAACTAAACGAATCTAGCCAGTAACATTATTTGATAAATTTATTCTTTCTCTTGTCATGGAATTCCGAGACATTGTTTAAAATGAGTAGATACCTAACCTAGCAATTTGACAAAAGATAAAAATTGTTTACGAGTAAATTTCGGAGAACGATGAAAGCTACATTAACAAAATATTAATGTATGCATCTTCCACTAACTAATTATAGAAAAGTATGAATCTGATTATAACAACACAAAAATTATTTATGATTTTAAACTACAAAAAATATCTTAGTAACATTCAAAACAATAATTAGCTTCTATGTTAAATATGTGTTAAATTTGTTGTGACTTTTAGTTTAGTGTCAACATAAATGTGTTTTGGTCCTCTCGTGATAAACTAATTCGTAGACAATGTTATTGCACTTTGTGAATCACAAATGATCTCTACACTTTATTCTTCAAACTCCACCTTATTAAGTAAACCCTTAGCCACACTGTCTATTTCACAATTTTTTATGAGTACTATATATTCAGCTTTAATGGTTAATAAATCAACTACTTCTACAAACTTTGGGGGTTATTGATTTATTAATTTGTAAATCCATATAGGATTTGGAAATCTCTATTAATTATGAAATCAAGATATATAGATTTTGAAATAACATGTGTTTACCCATGGATTTGAATCCTTCTATTTTTCTCTTTCAATTCTATATAAATCCATTTAAAACATAATTTGGATTCTCAAATCCAAAAACAAATGACTAAACGAATAACATAGGATTTTAACCAGTATTTATAAATCATAGAACCAATAACGCATGATTTTAATTAAGATTTTAAAATCAATGATTGAATAACAAATGATTTTTGTTTGGATTTCTAATTCTTTATAAATCCATGAACCAAACTTTCACATTTTGATACGATCTCACATTGGGCCCTCGTGGGCTTCGTCTTTGAAATATGGTTTAAGCCCAGTTTCTTTATTATTCTCTTGTCTTTGTATTTAAGCTTCTCAACTTCGTTGTAAACGCTAATCGAAAGATCGATAAATTAAACTATCATCTTCTTCCTCAATTTCTTCTGATTCCTCATCTCTTTTTTCTACTTCTCACCTATTTTCTGTTACTTACTTGATAGAACCAAATCCGATTTTATCACATTTCCACCTGCAGTAATTACCAGACCTATAACGGATCTTCTACGATCTCGACCTACCGCAAAATCACGGTCCCAAGAGCCACTTATCTCAAAAATTTCTTCCTTTTGATACATCATCAACAACTCTTGTACCTTTGATAAACTTTAAGGTCACAATAGAAAATGAGTATTATTATCATATACTCCTTCTGTCCCAATATACAAGATTAATATATAAAATATTTAAGGCATTTTCATTTGTTCAATTATATAAAATTTTCTTTACTTTCAATATATGATTTTCACTCTATTAGTTTAATAATTTTTAATTATTTTAATTATGCAATATTTTCTTTCATTTGTTGAATTTTCATAGATGAGAATTGTTTCTTAATCTTTGTATTTTAGTTTAACAAAGAACCTATTAAATTTTCTTAAGCCCATACTGGCCCAAAATCAAAGCCCAATAAACTCTTTCCCGCTTTGGCGCCCATTATAAACTCACGTTTTATTTTTCTAAATCCTTATTCCTCAAATGGCTTGGCTTCGTTTCTTCTCAAGAACCCTAATAAAATCTCAAAACCCAATCCTTCCCCAAATCTCATCTTCTTCCCCAAACCCTAACCCTAATCTCAGAACCTTCCCATTCTCAACCTCATTTCTCATCACAAAAACACCAAACAAATTAAAAAAAAGGCGAAAAAAACCAGAATCCGCAAGAACCAAATCAATCCAACACGAATCAACCAAAATCTCACATTTCGAATCACTCGTTTCACGCGACGCTCATTTCCGATTCCTAATCCGATCCAAAGAATTCATCTCAAAGCAACCAGAGCGAATTCTCCGACTAGATGACGCCGGAAAACTCTACCGTGAGCTCGGATTCCCTCGCGGTCGTAAGGTTACTCGATTCATACCAAAACATCCTCTGATTTTTCAAACGTATCGACATAACGATGGGAAGATTTGGTTAGGGTTTTCGGAGTTTATGCAGGATTTGTTAGATGAAGAGAAAGGTTTAATGGAATTAATGGAGTTAGATAGAGTTAATCGTGTTCGTAAGTTGTTGATGATGACGAAAGATAAACGAATTTTGTTGAGTAAAATCCATCACACTCGATTGCTATTCGGTATTCCTGAAGATTTTCGAGACCAGGTTGCGAAGTATCCGGATTATTTCCGGGTTGTTACGGGTGGAGATGGGAATCGAGTGCTTGAGTTGGTGAATTGGGATGCGAATCTTGCGGTTAGTGAGCTCGAAAGACAGTTTATGGTTGACGAAGATAAAGCGAAACGAGCTTTTAAGTTTCCGGTGAAACATGGGAAGGAGTTGGAATTGGAAGAGAAGGATAAGAGGAAGCTGAATCAGTTGAATACGTTTCCTTTGGTTTCGCCGTATTCGGATGGTTGGAAGTTTGATGTTTGGACATTAGAAGCGGAGAAGTACCGTGTTGGGATTGTGCACGAGTTTTTGAACTTGACGTTGGAGAAAAGAGCTTCGATTCATCATATTGTGGAGTTTAAAGATGAGTTTAGTTTGACTAGACAGACTTATCTGATGTTGAAGAAGCAGCCTACTACTTTTTACTTGGCTGGTACTGAGATGAATTGGACTGTGTTTTTGAAGGATGGTTACGACGAGAGTGGTGTTTTGATTAGTAAAGATCCACAGGTTGTGTTTAATGAGAAGCTGTATAAGTATGCAGATATGCAGCAGATGGAAGTTAATTAATTCTGGCTAAAACAGTTGAGCAGAGAGACATTGATGGGCTAATCTTGAAGGACAGTAAGAGTTTTAACTGCTGCTTTCTGTCGTAGCATCGGACAGTAAGAGTGCGCTATTTCTGTTGTATCATTATCGGATCGAATCTAGATGGTCTTGGTTCAATCTGTTCGAAAGATAGCTCAGTTAGTTGTAGTATCAGTTCTGATCTAGTATTGACAGAAAATAAATTGGGCTACAATGTTGTAATCTGAAATCATTTTACACTTTTCTACAAACTGGTAAGCTATGAATTAAATCCCCTCATTGGTCTAAGGAACAGTTGTGTTTATTATACAAGAAGGTTAAAATATAAAGTCACTTTGAAGCTGAAACACTTCTGCTTGATGAGCTTGATTCTCCAATTGAGACAGTGGCCAAAGACTTGGAAGCCCATGCTCGAGCATTCATGGCTCCTTCCTGCAAATTGCTACTCATGCAAGGTTCTTTGAGATACATGGCAAAGGTATGCTCCAGAAGGTTCCGCGGTCTCATGTTCTGAGCAACCCGTCCCCAAGTGGATTTTGCTAACACAATCATTGTGGGGGAAATCAACTGTAGCAATCTCAACAAGACGAAAACCGTGGCAAAAGTCAGGTAAGTCTCTTGGCGAAGCAGATTTTCCGGTGATCTTGTTGCCCATGGAAAGGGGCAATTCTCTGGCTTAGTGTGGAAATGATGAACTAACCTGTTCTTCTCAACCCAAGTTTCATCCAGAGTTTCAATTCCTACATCCCCATGAATGTATTCGGGTTAGTTTCATCGGCTAAAATCTTAAAAGAGATTATGCCCAATCAATAACAACAGGTTCGTAATAGCAACTCTAACCAAGACTGAAGCATAGAGCCAAATGCTTATCCATTTCTAAATGGACCAACACAAAGTAACAACTCAAATGCCTTACCAGTAACATCACTGTAGAAGGCAACAAGAGAATCTAGAGTTCTGGATCCCCGGTAAACTACGCCCATTGTTGAATTCATAAGGATGATAGTAGGAAACCCATGAACTCCATACTTGGACAAGGTACTGAACCACACCACACACAAAAAAAACAGAGCATCAAACCATGAAGTTCTCAATCAAATTACACGATTTCGGTCTTTTATACAAAACCCACCTAGCTTTAACTGATGATTCCTCAATTGCAAAGTGTGGAACTGATGAATATAACAAAGACATAAGATCAAAGCTTGGTCTAAGTAATCTGGAGAAAGGACACCATGATGCATAAAAGAGTAACGCCACATAGTCACACTTGTTCTTATCAATCATTTCAGAAGCCATTTGTAACCACTGATCATCTCCCTTCATAAACAACAAATACATCAATCACAAAACTCAGATCAAGAAAGCAAGTGAGAGATAAATCTTTGATTCTGAAATTACCTCGGTGACAAAAGCAGGACGATGCAAGGCTGATTTATCTTGAAACCCTAAGATATAATCTTTTGCAGATCCTTTAGGACAAATCTGAACCCTAATGGTGGCGTTTGTTAGATTTATGAACATAATCACCATCAACAACAACAACAACAAAATCGGCTTCTTCTCCATTGTAGAAGAAATTTTCTTAAACAAAACTTTTTTGGAGAAAACTAGGATTATACAGACATGACAAAGGTAGGTGTTGCCAGCAGAGAAAGGTTGACATGTCGTTGTCGTCAAGAAACAAAAATTTAATGGCGTTTACCAAAGATTAAAATCGAAATTAGAAGATCGGACAAGGGAAAAAAAACAAAAAAATCGCGGTTTGTGAATTATGATCCACAACTGGACAGTTCGTAAAAGAAACAAATATTTTGTCTGACACAAAGAATAATCAAAATTAGACAAAAGAAAATATTGCTTTCTCAGACTCAGAGTCAATCAACTTCGTCTCGGTTTAAGACAGCCGACCACATATATATATATATATTTTTTCTATTAAATATCCAAGTCTTATGTTCTTCCGTTTAATAAAGTAGTGTGTTTTGCTCTCTACTACGTGTGGCTGGTGAGGTGTAATAGTAGTTGTATTTGTGTCTTTTGTTTCAATGAGTTCTTGCTTTTCTTTGTGTCAGTTTGTTATTGGTTTAATTTTGGTGTGAGGTTTTCTGATTTTATTGGTGCTTCCGACGTTTACAAGTTCTTTGGGAAGCTAGGTGATACGCTTCCCAAAGGCTCCCGAAAGATACAAAGTCCGAAGGCCCATGACGGCAACAAGACCCATACAGAAAAAAACTGAAAATAATACCCAAAGGCCCAAAACAACAAGCAGGGCCATCCAAAAATAGAGAACAGACGCTTACCTAAGACGAAGACTCTTGAAACAGAGCAAACCAAGTAACCATAAGAGAGGAACCAAGGGGGACAGAAGACTGAGCCCTGGATATCGGATCGAGTCGCGCCCTGAGGATGACTTGTATCTCCTTTATAATAACAGCGGGAGTCCTCAAATTGGTGGAATGAATCCTAGAGTTCCTCTTTATATATGTCTCTATCGTTTGCTTAAATGTTTGGTCTAAATTAGCTTCTCCGTTCTGTTGGGGACTTGTTTCCCTTTTTTGGACTAAGTTTCTGGAGACATTATATTTGTGTGCCGGCATATGTATTTCAACTTGTATCCTACCTTGGTTTTTTAATAAAATTCAGATGACCAAAAAAAAAAGTTGTTTTCTTTCTTTTGTATAAATATAAACAACTTTTTTGTATTGTAAAACAGTTGACATATAGTTTCGGTTAGTTTTTTTTTTTGTAATGACTGGATTATGAAAATAATAAATTGTTTGCTGTATTGTAACATAGTCTTAATATTAAATTTGGAGTTAGTTTTAATTAGAAATGAATATTAATCTAAAATTCTTTATAAATTCTTTTTAAATTTAGCTCATTGGTTGCCTAAGGATTAATTAATGATTTTCCACAAAGAGGTATGGGGTTTGAGTCCCAGTTACTGCAATTTATTGACAAATTTGCATATTAATAGAGGCAAGTGTGCAGGAGATCCCAGTGATGTACAATTATAGTCGTTCGCCAGGATTCTACGTAGAGAAGGAAATGTCGTCAGATCGTGAATCATTGAAGTTGTTCGTCAAGAGCATGAAAAAAGAAAGTGTCGTATGTCGTGGATCTACTAAGAATCAGAAGGAATTGTCCGTTGTAAAATCGTTTATGTAACAGTTTCATAATTTACAATAAATAATAAATTGAGACGTTGAAAAAAAAAATAGTTTGACTACGTAAAAAATGCTATAAAGCTCACATTAGAATATTGGGTTTGTTGTAATTGAGTAAAATAATGTATCGTTAATTCTCTATCGATCCTTCTTCTTTTTATGTTATGTTGTAAAGGGTATAATAATAAAAATAATTTAAAAGAGATAGAAATATAAGGGAGAGAGTAATAATGAGAGAGAAGAGTAATAATGAGAGAATGAACTTTACATTTGTTTGTTTCGTATTCAAAATGGTGTGTTTTACAACTGAGGGAAAGAGCAAATTTATAGTACCAAATATAGACAATAGTTACTATAATAATGAATGACTATGGGCTCTATTTTATGTCGAATACGCAAGTATTTGACTTTTGCAACACTCCCCCTTGGAGTTCATATGTCATTCATATCTTTGCGACGTGCTTCATGTTGCCTCGTTAAAAACCTTTCTAGGAAAATCCATTGGTAAAAACCATAGTAAGGTAAAAGAGTACAATCACACAAGCTCCCCCTCGAATGACTATGAATGGCACTTTAAATATCCCGTTGATGACGCATTCCAATGTTATGGACATGTTTTCTGAAAGTTGTTGTAGGTAATGACTTTGTGAAGAGATCTACAGCATTGTCACATGATCGAACATATTTCACTTAAATTTCTTTATTCTTTTCAAGCTCTTGGGTATATGAAAAGAATTTCGGAGGGATGTGCTTGGTTCTATCGCTTTTGATATATCCTTTCTTTGTTTGAGCAATGCATGCAGTATTATCTTCATATAAGATAGTTGGTTCTGTACATGTAGTCCGCTGCTTGATTTAATGTGTTGACTTATTGATCTTAGCCACACACATTCTCTACTTGCTTCGTGAAGTGCGATGATTTCAGCATAATTTGAAGAGGTGGCTACTAATGTCTGTTTCTGAGAACGCTATGATATAGCAGTGCCCCCAATCGTGAAAACATATCCAGTTTGTGATCGGGCCTTATGTGGATCTGATAAATATACCACATCTTCAAAACCAACCATTTGACCTTTTGAGTTTTTAGGGTAAAATAATCCTAAATCAGTAGTCCCTTGAAGGTACCGAAAGACGTGTTTTATCCCATTCCAATGTCTTTGTGTAGGAGATAAACTGAATCTTGCTAAAAGATTAATAGCAAATGATATATCAGGTCTAGCACAATTTGCAAGGTACATTAGCGCTCCAATTGCACATAGATACGGTACTTCAGGACCAAGTATCTCTTCCTTTTCTTCATGTGGTCGGAAAGGATCCTTCTCAATATTAAGTGATCTAACGACCATTGGTGTACTCAGAGGATTTGCTTTATCCATATTAAAGCGTTTTAACACTCTTTTAGTGTATGTGGATTGGTGTACAAATATTTCCTTATGAGAATGTTCAATTGGTAAACTAAGACAAAACTTTGTTTGCCCGAGATCTTTTATCTCGAATTCTCCTTTTAAATAGTTTGTTGCTTTCTGTATTTCTTCTTGAGTTCCAATGATGTTTAAATCATCAACATATATCGCGATAATTACAAATCCATATATAGTTTTCTTGATGAAAATACATGGGCATATAGGATTGTTCACATACCCTTCTTTTATTAAGTGTTCACTAAGACGATTATACCACATACGTCCAGATTGTTTTAAAACATATAATGATCTTTGCAATTTTATTACACATAGCTCTTTGGGTTTAGAGTTTATTGCTTTAGGTATTTTAAACCCATCTGGAATTCTCATCAAGATATCAGCATTTAGTGATCCATATATATATATATATATATATATATATATATATATATATATATATATATATACATGCTGTTACAACATCCATGAGACGCATTTCTAGATTTTCATCAGCTGCTAGACTCATCAAAAATCTAAATGTGATTGCATTCATAACAGGAGAATAGGTTTCTTCGTAATCTATTCCGGGTCTCTGAGAACAACCTTGGGCCACGAGGCGAGCTTTGTACCTCATTATCTCATTTTGGTCATTTCGTTTTCGGATAAAAACCCATTTATGACCGACGGATTTTA